AGAGTGACTGGTTCAGGGCCAGACTTCAAACTGTTCAGAGCTCCTAGGCATGCCATAGGATGGATTACAAAGAACAGGGTTAAGTTGTACTTAATATTACCGGCAAATGAAACTCACAGTACAGCTGAGCCCAAAGATGCAAAAGGGTGAATAACAATCAACCGGTCCATTTAGCATATGATGTAGATAGAGTCGAAGAATTATTGGCAGCTGATTGCTGCTGGGCAAGGATGAGATGATCTTCTTAAAGGGAGGGACTCTAGATAGGTTGATTAGATCTCAGTGGATGAACTTGCACTGAGGGACATCTGAGGATACTAACTTGACATGACAGGCCTTAACACAAATGACAGAATGAATGAATTCCAGTGGGGGTCTAGGGGAGGGGCCAATGGGAAACGGGGTATAATGGTGATTAAGACGCTCTGTATGAAATACACAAAAATTCAATAAATTTTTTTAAAAAGCTGTTAGCCAAAATCTAATCTAAAACAAAAAACAAAATCTCACAATTTAAAGACAAAATAGGATCTGAAGAGATAGCTCAGCAGTTAAGAGCACTTACTGCTCTTGCAGAAAACCCTTGTTTGGTTCCCAGCACCCATATATTGGCTAACAACAGCCTATAACTCCAGTTCCAGGGGATCCCATGTACTCTTCTGCAGGCAATGCAGGATACAAGTGCAATTACATTTATTCAGGCAATACACATAAAATTAAAATAAATAATTCAAAAAATTAAAGACATTTCCTTTATCTCCACATTTCTTTTCCATTTTCCTGGCTCCCGGTGTTACATCAGAATATATACTCACATATAAGGGATTGGTGCTACAATCCACAAATGGGGGAGAACACACATTGCTTGCTTTTCTGTATTTTTGTTACTTAGTATAAAACTCTCTAGCTCCACCCATACCTGCAAATTTCATAATTTCATCTTTCCTTCTTGCTGACTAGAACTCCATTGTGTGGATGTACCACATTTCCATTACCCATTTGTCACTTGAGTGACATTTACGTTGTTTCCATTTCTTAGCTATTGTGAAGACAGCAGCAACAAAGGTTGATGTACAGGTATCTCTACAGTATGATGAATCCTTTGGGTATATGCCAGGAGCGATATAATCAGATCATAAGGCAGATTCATTTTTAGTTTTTTGAGAGCTCTCCATACTGCATTCTATAATGGTTACATGAGTTTGCAATCCTACTGACAGTCAATGAGCGTTCATCTTTCTCCATATCCTCTCCAGCATTTGCTGTCTTTGGTTCTTTTGACCTTAGTCGGTCTGACTGGGACTAAATGGAGTCTTAAAGTGGGTTGAATCTGCATTTCTCTAATTACTAAGAATTTTTAGCACTTTAAAAAAAATTTTACAAAAACTTTATTGAGAATTTCATATGTGTATATAAGGTGTTTTGATCAAATCCATGCCTACTCCCTCACCTCCAACATTACCCCCTCTGAAGAGGTAACCCTAAAATCTTTTAAGAATTAGATACACGCTTCTAAATACTTTTGACATTTTTGGCCTTTGGAGTCTGTTGTTAACAGGCCCAAGGACATTTTGATTTTTAGCCAAGAAACTGGCTACATTTCTTTGGGGTCTTTTTACTCTAACTGCCTATCCAATTCCTACCTCCTATTCTTATCTAAAGGTGTTTCTTAGGCATTTTTATTTATTCATTTGAGAACACTCTGTTGAGGTCTGTAGCCCATCTTTTTATTGGGTCATTCATTTTCTTGTTTCTTTGTTTCTTGAGTTCTCCAAAGAGGGGCATAGTAGGGAACAGATGTTACCGGGGGGAGGTGAGGAAAGTGGGAGTTTTCAGCTGGGAGGATAGGAGGGAGGGACATGCAGGAGGCCGTGTTGTGTGAGGGGGGAACTCAGGAGAGGGGTTGCTGAGTGACAGGAGTTATTGTGGAAAGGGTGGGGAAATGGGGCACTTGGACTGGGGAGTGAGGAGGGAGGTCAGAGGGGGGAGAAGGTAGACATGAATGGATCTTGGGGGGCTAGGGAAGCCAGAGGAAAATCTGAAATCTCCCGAGCAATGCACATATGGTGTCTGAACATTCGTGCATATGTATACCTGGGGTGTGTATGGCAAGGAAGACAGTACCAGACAGGAGAGACTTTCTGTCGAGTAGTTGGTCAGAGTAGTCCAAGAGAGTCCCAAAATAACACATGCTATTGCCAGAGCTCTTGGTTATCTCCCAGAACTGGAAGAGACGACCCCACTGCTGAAGACAGGACATACTTCGGACACAGGACATGGAGCAATGAAGCAGGAAGTGACCTGGAAGCCTTCTACCTGAAGTTTAGCTCTTCTAGTTCTAGAGGATACTATGCAAACTTGTAAGGGGGAAAAATCAATCAATGGTCCAACCCAGCCCTAAAGCCCAATAACCATAATGGCAGGTTCAGCAAACTACTTCTTTTGGTGTGGTAGTCACACTGTTATGAGCATCTTGAACTTAAATTCCTCTCAGCGGGACTGAATTCATGGGTAGCATTGTAAATACAGCCAAATACACATGACTGGTGAGGTCATAGGTCCTAGGGAAAATCCTATCTCTGTTATATTTCTAGACAAATGAAATTTCTTATCATATTTTAAATGTGGATCCTTATATTTACAGACAAGTATACTGTATACCACTCACCAAGTAAGCTTCTTTTTGGAACAGATGGAGGATACTACAGAATTCCACAATTGGTTAGACACAGACAATATATATCTGAGAGATGCCCAGTCCTAGGTAACATATCTACAGTTGAACCTCTACACCTAAAGCTCATGGAACTTAGCAGAACAGGGGGTAGAGACAAAATTGGTGCATACCTTAACTCTCAAGATGCACACAGAAGGTCACAGCTAGCCAAGTTTTAAAGACTGCACAGTGTGTGTTCCTGGATAGGACTCCTATATTTAAGTTCTCCCATTCACGGTTTAGGGACCATTGTGGAAGAAGAGGCAGAAAGATTGTAAGAGTCAGGACTGATTCATGAACATAGGGAAGCAGAGGCTTCCAGTGGCCTGAAAGCTTGCATATGTGAACTTGTGCCAATGGTGGCACTGAGCACAGGACCCATGCCAACTCATTCAGAAAAAGGCCCACAGTGGAGGAGAGAAATGGGTGGTGGGCCAGCCTTATTCTGGGAACTATTGGAGATTGATCACTCCTGGGTGAGGGAGAGTAGGCATTAGTTATGATCTCTAGATAGGCTAACTAGACTCCAGTATATGAATTTGCACTGAAGGACATATGGGTACAAATGCTTGACTGGCTAGGATTTAACATGTATGGCAGAATGCATAAGGTCTGGTGGGGTATGGGAGCATGGATAGGGGTCTAAATTTGATGAAGATCTGTTGTATGAAATGTACAAAATCTCAATAAAAATGAAAGAAAATTAAAGACAAAAGTATATATTTAAAAAAATAAAAAACAAGAAATAAAATGAAAAAGAAATATACACTGGTCAATATTTCTTCCTAGTTGGTACATATGTGATATTTGCCACCTCTTCAATTGTGTTTTGTTACTGACTCTGCAGACACAAAGATGCTATTTTTAGCAATTCAAACAAGTTACATTAATATTTTCTCCGTGTTGAGAAAAGTTCATGTCAGATTCAGTTTTCTATATGGATTTCCCAGCTCAAAACAGTCCACCTGCCATCTACAGCCTTCATGCTGGTGTTCTGGTGGTCAAACTTTCCATGCTTGGCATGCAGTGTCTAAGGATCTATGGATGGATCACTCATGCTTGCATTTACTTTTCCTACTGGATGTTCTTGTCCTGCCTGGATTTGGGGGTGTTTTTATGCCAATGTCCTATAGTTCTTGTCTCAAAATAATTGCTTCTGTCTGAATACCTCTCATGCTTCCATGTTTTCATTCACTTAGGCAGCTGCAAAGATATTGTCCTTCACATATTCTTCAGGAAAGTCATGATGAGTTTTAGCTTTGGGCTCCTGCTACTGGGCTTCCTCCTACCACAGTCACTGTGTAGCCCTGTCCCAGCCATCTCGCTTCACCCACAGTGCCCTGCTCCATACTGCATCTCTGTAGCCCATTCAGTCTCTCTCTCTCTCTCCCTCTCTCTCTCTCCTGCTCTCTCTCATTCCCTCCCTCCCTCCCTCCCTTTCTCTAAATATCTATGGTGCCCAGGCTGG